TAAGCACAAAAGAGAAGTCTTCTGTAATTGATATGGTGGTGGCGAAACTTTTTTCTCTCATATTTAGAGTTTGGTAGTGGCAATTTTTGGGCCAGACTTGATTTCACATGACGGCCATTATTCTAAATGTGAACCATTGTTCTTGTCTTGATCTTTAGATGAGCCATCGTAGTATTTGCCTAACTATTGGAATGGTATGAAGATTTTGACTTTGTCGAAATAAGTATGAAAGAAATTGAACAAAAGTGAAGTATTGTTAAAAGTGTCATTAATTTAGTGGTAGCGTCAAGCATGACCAATTTTTCTATTTACAAAAGCTAATGAAATATCCCTTATTCATACATATTTTTTTCTCTCTCATCACTTATAAATAAAAATAAGTAAGCACCTATCCTAAAAAAAAAAAAAAAATCAAAAAGGCATGCTACATATGTAGTTATCACCATATTAATTAGTTGATTCTTGTCTGTAGCTCCGTTCATATAATAGATTGAAAATACTTTAAAGAGTATATTTACATGGTTTTGGACTATCGAAAACTTGCACTTCTCTATTTACTCACTATTTAATCAACGAGACAATGAAAGTTTATTATGAATATTCATGATTTAGTTTTTTTTTTATTCTTTTAAAATAGTCAATAAGTTCATGTTTTATGAAAAAACGTATTCCTCTACCATAGTCAAAGTAAACTTTGCCTATCTATTATTTAGAATGAATGGTTAGATTAATAGTAACCCAGCTTCACCTGAAGCCTAGCCTTTTTCTCTTTCTCACTCTTAGAGGCATCATTTAAAACCCTTTCACTCAAACAAGGCATTTCAGTTTCATTAAATATCACATTTCTAGTGTTATCATCTTAAATCCTTTATTTTCTCTGATCAAAATTGTGTACCCTTTCACCGTTCAAGGTATAATCAGCCAATTTTCATGACCATACTTCCTCATGTGTTTTCCCATCTAAGGAACTAGTAGGGGTCCTATTCACAATAAATATAGCTGCCATAACAGCCTCACCCCATAGTACTTTTGGAACACCCATACTAATAATCATGCATCTTACCTTATCTAAAATGATCATATTCATCTTCTCTATAGAATAGTCTTATGCCTGAGATTCCATCATCTTTACACAGTTGATTAAATTCAGCACTACAAAATTTAAGACCATTGTGCGTCTTTTTATCAACTTGATTTCAATTGAAGTTTTCCAAGTTTTAAACTTTTCGAAAGTATCAATTTTTTATTTCAAGAGGAATACCCAAATTTTTCTTGTTAAAATCATCAATCAAAGAAAAAATATAACTATTGAGTGGTGGTCGATGATAGTCCCCACAGGTCTAAGTGTATATATATTCAAGGATTGATGTTATGCTTTTCAATATTAAAATGAAGCCTATGCTGTTTACCTAAAGTGCAGTACTTACAGAAAGGAACTTTAGAAATAATATCTTTACCAAATGCCCTCTTCTTATGTAAAATGTGCACGCCTTTCTCACTAATATGTGCGAATCTGTTATACCATTTCAGAGTTACATCAATCTCAGTACTGGAGGACTCAACAGAGTGACTCAGAACAACACTGGCTCTAGTGACATATATACCATTTCTTTTGGTACTTTTGAAAATAACTAAGGAATCCTTAATTACTTTCAATGAACCATTTCCAATTTTATCTTGCGGTCCTATGTCATCTAAATTACCCATTGAAATTAAGTTTATATTCAAATCAGGGACATACCTTATCCTTTATGGAGTAAAGGTGTATCCATTTTCAAATTTCAAAATCACACTACCAATTCCCTTAATTTTATGGGCAACATTGTTGCCCATTGCCCATAACCACCTCTCCTCCATCAAGATCCTTGTAGTTTTCTAACCAAGGTCTTCAAGAGGTCATATGGAAGGTGCAACCTGAATCGAGAATCCACTAAAAATTTTGATCACTGTTATCTGCATAATTTGCAATATTCAGATCTGTAGTGGATTCTATCACTACATAGACATCTACAGTTTTATCATCTAGGGGTTCAACAACATTTCCCTCATCTACTTTTATCCCTCTATGTTTATTCTTTTCTTATAACAATCCTTTATATAATGTCCTTTTTTACACACCCACAACACTTCCTATTTCCATTTCTAGACTTTGACTTAAACCTTATTTTCCCTTTCTTCTTAGAAGTATTATTCCCTTGATGACTACGACTGCCCTAACCATTCCCTTGCCTTGTAAGGGACCTACCTCTCACAAACAAACTCTTTGATTCCTTCCCATTTCTTATAGCATTAAGTTTTAATTCTTTGCTTCTTAAAGAATATATAACAATCTTAGGAGTCAGGGTATGTCTGCCATATTTAATGGCAAACTTGACATCTCTATATACCTCAGGGTAGGCATTAAGGAGAATAGCAGTCTTATATTCATGAGAAACTTTGTCTCTAGCATTAATAGTAATATATTGTACTAACTTGTTAAAAGTATCAAGATTATCATCGAAGTCTAGACAAATCAATCTTAAAGCTAAAAAACCTCTCTAGAAGGAAAAGTATATTAGGTAATGGCTTAATCAAATAAAGTTCTTCTAAGTTATCCCACAATGCTTTAGCATTATCAAGTTTCCCTACTTTTCTCAATACTTCATCAGACAAATGAAGAATAACAGAAATATAGGCAAGTTCATTAGATTAAGTTATTTGTTCAGCAGTCATAGTTGCACGAAAATTATAATCTTTGAAACTTTTAGCTAAACAATGACCCCTCTCATTTTTGCTGCCAAATGTGAAATTCCCTTTTTCCATTAAAAACTCCAAGTTCAAACACGGTAGTCGTCATTTGAATTTTTTAAACAACACAAAAATGGATTTGAAATCAATGTTCAACAGCAAATAGTACATATCCCAATATCACACAAAAAAATAAGAAATATCAAACAGTTCAAGGGCAAATAATCACATTGAAAAGAAATAAACACAATGATGTTAATGAAGACAGTAGGGGATTCCTCCAATTTCTATGTGTTTGAATTCACCTGGATTCCTTGAGGCTCAAGAACCCAGGTCAAGGCATTATTCAAGAAACACACGAAACAAGAAGAAACGAGAAGGAGAACAGAGGGAAGAAAATATTAATGATTAACAACAAAAAAAGTTAGGGTTAGAAATTTTAACCATCAGCTTGGAGTAACACCCACAAAGTACCCACATGTTTTCAGAACAATTCACAGATACCCAAGATCTGAATTCTTTTTTCAAGATTCAATCGTCATATCTGTAAAAATTCATTTTTCACCAACAAATCACGAACGAAGGGACACTAAGCCACCCAGACAGCTCTGATACCAACGTTGTAACTTGAAACAAAATAGAAATACCTAAGAACACACAATACGAAAATAACCCTTTAGAATCACATAATATCAATAAGGAGTCATCAATATAAGGATTGATTATGTTTGGGCTCAGAACAACATTATACCCTTCTGTACACAAAATATCCACAAAACCCTGGCCCTCAAATAGAATGAACAAACGCAGCTACTTCAATGGACAAAGAACAAACTAACTGATCACAACTGTAAACCTTTAATCGAAGAATTACTAGGACTCAAATCACACAGATTCAACCCCAAAAACCAGAAAATTTAGGGCAACACACAGTAGACGGAAAAAGGAATGAGAAGAGACATGGAGAAAGAAATTCCAAAAGCCTCTCACGCAGATCAGATGAAAAATTCATTTAGGGTAACCATTCAGGTCACTTAAATATGACACCATCATCACCATAGATTTTAGCTAGTGATAAATGGTCCACAGCAGCATACATGTCATCCATATTGTTTGGGCCTCTTACATTTTGTGTTATCAGGCAATGGCAGATATAATACCGGCAAGTGAACTTAGCCCCAATCTCATCATAGTCCATGAACTGAACCAATTTTATATGGCATCACAGCCCATCATGCATGATATATGTTACATGATTTCTGCAAGAAATTGGAATCAAATCATAACACATTTCATTCACATAATTAATGATGTCTGCTAGAAATTGTTCACACACTTTCTGGAAGTGTTAGATGGAAAGCTAGTAATTGTCTATTTGTCATTGGATTTGACCAGTGTTAGGTGGGAAGTCTAATACCATTTTTTCTAAGACATCATTTTTATCTACCAAATGAAACGCAGATTTCTTAATTTTTCTGTTCAACTAAAATTTTAACGTTTTAAAAGTCCTTTTAAATTTAAGTGTCACCAATTGAGATTTTAATGAATTTTATTAAAATTTAGATATCTTCAACTAAAATTTTAATGAATTTCAATGAAATACTTTACAGGTATTCTCAATAATCGTAAATTTTATAAGATTTGAATGGATTTCAATCTTAAAAATACGCATAACAAATCCTTTTGAAATTTCACAATTTTAATGAGATTCATATGAATTTCGTGTAAGACTATTCAAATTCACGAAATTCATTAATATTTATAATATTTTAAAACCCATTAAAGTTTTAGTTGAGAACACTCCTGTAAATGTCCACTATAAATTTGGTCTTCTTTAATTCGTCGAAATTCTTGTTCTCTTTTTTTGTTTCTTTTTTTTCCTTCCTGACCTCCACTATATGCTCGATTCTATCTTGAGCAGATTTGAGTTGGCTATGAAATTTGTTGCATGTCACATTGTTCGTTTAATGCTCAACAAGTGAATAGTGACAAAGTTCCAGATGTGAAAGTATTTTAATAAGTTAAGTGACAACTCGAATAACCTTTAAAATCCAATGACATCTAGGAGACATTTTAGAAAATTTAAAAGTCGAATAGCTTAAAATTG